ATTAGCAAAATTGTTAGAAAAAAATGTATTATCATATGTGGTTAATAGATTATAAAGCATATCTTTGGTATAAAATTAAATTGATAAGATTTAGATAAAAACGACACTAGAGTGTAGTTTTTTTTTTTTATTATAAGTTTGGCAAAGTTATTTGACAGTTGATTTTCATTAAATTAGTGAGCAAAATAGCAAAAATTAAATAAATGGTCAAAATTGCAACACTTAGATACGTTTGAAGTTTAATTTTATGAAATTGAAAGTTTACAGTCAAAATTAATATAATTTTTTAAAATTAAAGGTAAAAAATGATTTACCTCTGAAGATTTTGATTTTAAACTTATGCACTTAAAAGTGACTGATAGGTATTTCAACTTTAAACTTTGTATTTAGATTTTTTAAATTCAAGAATTTAAAATAAAAAATTAAGTATTTATAAGACAGATTTTAAAATTTAGAAATCTATAGAAACAAAATTAARGAGACCAATTTTGTAATTTTAACTATATTTTCCTCCCTCCAATATTTTTCATAGCTACTTTAAGGGCAAAATCATCTTTAGAATTTGCCTTTCTGTTTTTTTAGTTTAACCAATGAAAGTTTGTGAGATTGAATCATTAATGTAACAGATGTTAATATATTGTGCTATGCTCAAATTGACTTTTAGATTTTTGTTCTCAAACTTTCAAGGCTGTATCTAAAACATTTTTAAACTTTGAAAATGTCTAATAAATCATGAATATATTAAATATATTTTAAAATTTATGGAACTAAAAATTGAAAATTTTTGAAACATATCAACAAAAGCTTAGGATTAAACAATGTTTTTAAATGTTGATGTAGATAAAAATATCCATATCTCAATTTTAAATATTTATGGAAAATTATGAAGACTATTTAAATTAATAAATAAGCACTTTACTCTTCTTAAATAAGTTATAAATTTTTGTTATTAGATATTATGTGTATATGAGTGATATTTCTTTTTATATTTTTCTTACTTCATCAATTTTTTCAATTATACAATGAAAATATCGATTCATCTTTATGTCCATGTCAATTGTATCAAACCCATGAACTTACGAAAATGATGTTCCCACAAATTTAGGATGCATTTTATTGGTGATAAAACAATAGAAATTGAATAGTTCATTTGGAAATTGAATATCAATTAATATATTTGTAAATTAGTGATGGCTACCGATTAACATTTAGTTCAATCTAAAATATTATTAACTTATTTATTAATATGTTATAAATGTGTAGAATTGTTAGTTACTTACCATATAAAATACTATTAATTCATTTATTAACCTATATGTTACAAATCTGTAGAATTATTATTTTACAATATAATATAACCTATAATATATTAAATTTTACCTGTTTAATTTTATCAACTATGAGATGTATTTTTTAATTTTTTTAAATGTAATTATACATTTTAAAATTTCAAATTCAAAATCTTGCAAACACATATTCACTAAATCAGTAAAATAATAAACATAATCTATATTGCATAGTGAATAGACTCATAATACATTGGGATTAAACTTATAATTAGGTGAAAAAAAAACTTTTTGGTCAATGTAATTTTATTGAAATAACGATTTAGTCCCTGAATTTTAGTTTGTAGCGATTTAGTTCCTGTAGTTTCAAATTAGTAACAATTTAATTCTCGAACGACAATTTAGTCCCTGTAGCTTAAAGTTTGTCATGATTTAGTGCTTACCGTGAAATTTTTTATTAAGTTTATTATATATATAGATCGATTAAATTGATGAAAAACAAAAAATCAATTGTTATATGATTTTTAGATTAACGATTTAGTCACACTTTTGGCCCCTATACTTTCATGTGAGTCACAATTTAGTCATTGAACTTTAGTTTGTGACGATTTAGTCTCTTTATTTTCAAACAGATAACAATTTAATCGATGAAATTTAGTATACAACAATTTAGTCCCTATAGTTTAAAATCTATAACAATTTAGTCTCTCTTGTAATTTTTTTATTCAGTTTCTAGATCGACAAACCGATGATGGACAAAATGTATTTATAAATCACAAAGATCAAATAATTATATGATAAAAACTAACTACATGGATTACGTTACTACACACTAAAGTCTATGGACTAAATTGTTACCAATTTAAAAGTACAAATATTAAATCGTTACAAACTAAATATCAGGAAATAAATCGTTACTTGATCAGGAGTATAATTGAACAAATGTGTTTTCCAACTGTGCAGGGGCAAAATGGTCTTTCCAGAGGTGGCGCCCGTAGCAATAAATAGTTTTATGATAAAGCCGCCCTGGGAGGAAAAAGTGGGCCCAGAGTGCCACGCTGGAGGGTCCCTCGAAGTGCAGTGGAAAGGCATGAAGGGTCATGGGGTGGTTGGGGAGTCCTTATGATTTCCTTTTTATTTCTTTTATTTATGTTAATATTTATTCTACTTTTAATTCATTCAATTATTTATTTGTTTTGCAAAAAATCTAATTTTTGAAATTGAAATTATTTCCAATTGATGGATGTGACATTAATGTGTCTTAACGAAGTTCATAAATCTATTGATTTTGAGATCTTCTTTTTAGGTGGCCAACAAATATGAAGTTTAATTTGTAGATTGGATTTTTTATTTTGAGAATTCTATGTCGGCCCATATTATGAAATTGATTTATGATGAATTATTAACTTCCTATATTTATTGAAAACACTGTTTTTAAACATATTTGTTTTATGGTATTTTAATTTAGGTTTAAATATTATCGTTGTTCATGTATTTTCGACTTTGGTTAATTTTAATCAATGTACTTTCAAAACGTTTAATTTGGCTTTTGTACTTTTAAATTCTGTTTATTTTAGTTCAAACGTTGATTTGGTCTATTCATTTTTTGTTTTTATCTTTTTCTTTTTTTTCAAAATTTTAGCATTGACACCCCACCTACTACTATAGCCCATAATTTTATATTAAAATTGTCCATTGTATATAATAAATTTTGAGTTAAAATTTTGCAAATAGGAATGAAATGATTCTTTTTTGAAAATACATGGATCAAAACCGTCGCTTTAAAAATAGAAGGATTAAGATGAACCAAAGTTGGAAGTATAGATATTAAAATGAACCTCTTAAAAATACGAAGAATATAAACTAAAGTTAAAAATACAAAGACGAAATGTATTTAAATAATTTATTTCGATAATGAATAAATATTAAGTAAAATTAAGTTCAAATAACGCTTCTATTTTCATCTTTAATTTTAAAATTACGTTTGTTTTCTTACCATTTTTTCTTGGTTTTCATCATTTTAAAAATAATTTTGAAATCAAGCAAATTGGAGACCATTTATTTTTTAGTTTTTTGAAACTTGGCTGAAATTAGATCACAAATGCTACTTGTCAGTACACAATTATAATTTTTCAAAAACAGAAAACAAAACTATTATTAAATAACTTAACTAATACTTAAAAAAGTAAGCAGAAAATAAATGATATAAAAACCACAAAAATATTATTCCTACTTTCGCAATCTTATATTAAAAAAGAATTATTTTTGACAATAATTCTACAAGAACATATTTTTCAAGTGAGAAAACAATTTTTTTATAATATAAGTTATATGACTTCCAAGCAACCTTCTAACACCTATATTTGAACTAATTTTATATAATATATTCCATTTCACTACCCAAGTCGACCAAAATTCATATTAAAAAAGAAAAAAAAATAGAGAACAATTCATAATTAAAATATTAAAAAATAAAATAAAGATTTTAAAGAAAGAAAAGCCTATGGATGGAGACCGTACGAGTACATGCTTTCCTGTAAAAAGGAAGATCATAACGTGGGCCCCACTAAATGGGGCAACTTTGACCATAAAAATAAAATTATTCCAGTTTCCTGGTTTAAAAATTTCAATTTTCTCTATTATATTTTAACATTTTTTTTAATTATATGATTTTTCGTTAACAAATTTTTGAAAGGAAATTAGTCTAGAGAAAAAAGTTTCTCATTTCTTCTTTGAAATTGATAGAAATTTCGAATTTCTTCTCTCAAGTAATTTAAATTTTGTCTAAATTTCTACCCATTCAGATTGCCGTGTAAACTTATCATTAGCTAATAAATCTTTTGTACAGTACCATACCTTATCATTAAAATACGAATAACTAAATTTAAAAAATAGTCAAACATGAGAGACTAAAACACATATTTAGAACAATGAGACAGGTGGTGATTTTAAGAGCAGTGGTTGATGGAGAATTTGTGATGTGATGATGCAAAAGATAGAGGCATGAGATATTGAGACAGTGTCCTAAAATGTGGGACCAAAGTCCCCCAATCACAGAAATATGTTCAAACAATCATTTTCAATGTACATTGTATGCCTACTTTGCCTTTGCCTTTGCCTTTGGTGAGGATGAGAGAGAAAAAGAAAAGAAGAGAGAGAAATCTCTCACACCAAATCTAAGTTAATTTTACATCAATCTAAATTGTTTTGATTTTTGTCGTTTAATTTTTGTATGAAAGTTTAAATTGAGTTGAAACGACAAGTTTCGTCGTGTTCAAATCAAGTAGAATGGTCTTGATTTGAATAAATTGAAAAGGGCAATAATAGATTAGAATGATGGGATTGTAATAACATCCAAATTAAATTTGGGTTTCAGCTTCAAATGATGAATTAAATGTTTATTTGTCTGTAACAAAAGCATGTAGAACTATTCATTTGATTAATTTTATAATAAGATAGGAGATATTGTTCACTAATATATGTTGTTTACAAAGAAATTATTGATATTATTTGTTTTTTGATGGGGATATTTGAGTCAACTTACACGTATATAAACTAACCTTACAATTAAAGTTTTAAATTTCCACATTTTCGTTGGCATTTCTATATGTCCATGGGTTTAACATCAACACAAAGGGATCCATTATATCGTAAAACAATCGACAAATTATAAGAAAATGTAAAAAAAAATCACTCAACATAATATTGATAATAAGAATTTATAACTTATTTAAAAGGGTGAGGACACCCGCGCCCACCCCAAGATCCGGACCCAAGAGACATAAGGGTTTTTGACATTACTTATTAGGCTCACCAGAACTAAAAAAAAAAAAAAGGAATGTGTGGCCATACTTTTCAAGGCAAAAGGAAAAGTAAGTAGTTGCCAGTGTAGGTATACCATATTAAGTACGTGCATCTGTAAATCTATATGTATTTCGATTCAAAGATTTTGAAGACGTCTAACATTGAGATTTTTTTCTCTCTAACTAAAAAGGACTTATGCTTAAAAAGAGTAGAGATTCAAAATCGGTAATTCCAGAACTAACCTCTTTCTGGGGTGGGAATTACTGGTGGATCCTGCACAAACAACAGCAAAGAAAAACAAACAGACAAAAAATTGAGAAATCAAAAACCAGTGAAATGATCAGCAAAAACCAACACAACAAAAAATACATCATTATATGCCAAGAAGATAATGTTTGGATGAACTCTCACAGCCTACAACCAAGCCCTACCACCATCCATCTTCCACAGTGATAGTAAAAAGAAACAAAAATATGTCAAAATATATATGATGATGAAAGAGTAAGCCATGTATATATAATGGTATGGTCTTGATTCAAGGAATTTGAGGAGGGGGTATTACCACAAGCAGCCTACTTTCAAAGATAACAGGGTTATGTGCACTATACCTGAAATTGACTCCTCATATCAACAGACATCTGAAAAAGTTCAATGATTGAAATTCAATTCCAGGTAGAGATCATCAATCTCTAGCTTTTGCCTATTCATCTACTTTTTAGGATTGGAAAATGCAGATGTCCTAACTCCACGCGTTCGTAACCTGAAAGCGGATAAGACAGCTCGAACAAATTACACGGCCTACAATTTCCATATCCCTTCAAAATTACTTTGTTATCATTGAAAAAGTTGGACCACCAACTGGGAAATTATTGGGAGTTGTCCTATGGTGATCGATCGATCTCCATTCTTGCCATGATCGTTAAGATGCCATAGTCTTAAAAAGCATCCCTCAACTTTAATTCTTGGCTACATGAAAAAAGTGACAAAGGTCACTCACTAAAAGAAGGGAGGAAAGCCAACACATCTGTTAAATAACAATTCAATGAGAATAGTTACAAACACAATAACCACACTCATTGAAATATTAGGTGTGTCATCATAGTTGAATTTAGGCAACTTTGATATGACTATCACATGATAAGTCTTAGCCTAAAGAGCCATCCCATGAGAATAGGAGCCAGTACACAATCCCTGTTTTAAACTGAAGAGTCCATTCACATTTCCATTCAGTTGGGGAGGATTGTGATGCGTGGTTTTTTTGACATTCCCCACAAATTTGAAGCCTTTCATTTGGAAGATGTCAAAGTTCATTAAACCTTATAATGGGCTATAGCTTCTGCGTCCATACAACTTGGATCTGCAGCACAAAGAATTTGTCAGAATCCAACTGTCCCAACTATACTCATATTGCTTAAGGATATCCAGTCCCATTATATACTATCAAAACAATCGCTATACTCTTCAACAATATCAATATCATTAAAGATTAATAACATGTCTTCTATTTTGAAAGCAAAATAATTATAAAAAACAATAAAATAATTATAGAAAAAAATCAAGCTCGTCTAATAGTCCACGACTCTTAAATCATCCTGCCTACGTCAGGTCCTTCCTATTTTGCATAAAAACAAAGAATGTGTCAACTTCCCCCCATCAACACATCCTTTAAGAAATTCCCAATAGACAAAGTTCTTGAAACTCATAATCCAATCATCAAGAGCAGGCATTTTAGTTACTAACCTACATTCTTGGTGCTCTTTAAGAAAGCCAATTTACAGCAATTACATAAAAATTAGAAAAAGCAACCAGTTCTCCTGTTCACAGCTTGCATTCAAGCAATCATTCTTATCAGTGTAAAAGGAGTGGCAATTAAAAAATAAACAATTCAAAGGACAAGCAGAGGAACTTACAGATAAAATTTGATGAGCATCAAGTTTTTGGACAGCAGAATGATGGCAACGACTCTTAGAGAGGGGTTACGTTTATCATGCCATCTTTATGCTGAGTTGCGGGTGGAAATAACAAATGGTAGTTGCCGAGTTCCATAACCTCCTGCTTTCCGTTGAGACCTTTATTTTAATTTCATAATCATCATTTGCCCTTTTATTTACGGCATTGGTATCGAGAAGAATTTTAAGAACCAAGGTAATAGAAGGGGAGCCAAATATTTTTAAACATTCTTTAAAATAGCCATGTCAACAAAACAACATAAATGTTGATAGCAAAATGGAGAAATTAATGGCATATATAAAGTAATACATAATCTTAGCACAATCTCCAGCAAGTTAGTCAATCGATTGTACAGTCAAATTCTAGATCTCTGAAAATTGTGATCCTGGTGAACATGGCAGGAATCTTGTGACGAGGCACACACATTTCTATAATTCTATTGAAAACTGGGAACTGATGAGCATTTGGCGTCCTTGTAGCATATCAATTAACACAAGAGCTCCCCACAGCTACTTACTATCGTCCATAAGGATGATATCGACCACTTGGAGCACTCCCTGCACCATCATATCCTCCTCCTCCTCTACTTCCATAGAAGGAGCCTCTACCACCAGAAGGGTATCCAGTGCCAATGCCCATATCATAGCTGCCTGCATACCCACCGGTATTAGGAGCACCACCACTGTTATAAGCACCATAGCTCTCATCGGGACCACCATAACCACCTCTAAAATCATAACCTCTGCTGAAGCCTGCTCCATAACGTGCAGAATACCCCATAGAGGGATCTTCCCTGTAAGCTCCAATGCCACCAGTACCATACATCCCATAACCACTAAAATCGTTTCCACCATATCCACCATAGCCAGCTCTAGCACCATATGGACCACCTGCCCTAAAAGCACCACCATACCCGCCACCTCCAAACTCCGCATATGCATCACCCCCAAAGCTACCACTGTAACTTGGCCTTGAATCATGGTATCTCTTTGAAGGGGCTGGAGGTGGATTTGCCTTTTTTGGCTCTGCCTTCTTGATCTCCACCTTTGGAACAAAGAATAATCAACCATAAATTGTTCAAATGACTTCAGCAGATGAATATATTTAATACATAATTTGCATGCTTATGCTGTACTTGTACATAAGACCAATACGGACAAAAAATCCATAGTGAAACCTACATAAACTCACTTTACAAGCAATAACCTTGTCACAGCTAACTCAACAGTTATCCTTTTTTTGATAAAAAATGTTAGTATGTATTGAATAAAAATATTAGGAGGCAGCCAAAAAGGTCGGAGGATAAGAGGGCCCCCGCCTCACAAAAAACTAATGAATAAGCTTGCATTAAACAACAGCCTACTGTAAGAGACAAATTGTTTACATGGGCTTTTCTTCTGAAAAATATTCCAGAATAATTTTCAAAAATTTGATCCAATAAATTTTTATTTTTTAGTTTAAAATGTTCTAATTTTAGAGTCTACAAATAGGAAAATATAATCGAACAAGAAGCATTGCTTCAGAAAACAAGATATCAATGTCATTTGCTACCAATTCACTTTTACACTCCCTTAATAATGCTTTACAAAAACAGTTTTCAAATTAGATTTCTAGATTAAAACTTGTTCAGCCTTTACTCTAGATGAACCTCGAGAAACTCTCACAAGAAATTAATCCACGGGTGAAAATAAGTTCAAAAAGAGAAAATCTAGAGGCCATCATTAGTATAGTTCTCCAGTGCTCTATATAGGTCCTAAATTGAGATGCTTGTGCCTTGGGTAGTTACTGAAATAAAAACATGGCTTCAACGGAGGTTATGGAACAGCATAACTTGGCCTTTGGTTCAGTATAATGAATTCAAGTAAATGTAGATTATAAAAGAAATTATAAGTAAAGGACTGGTTCAAAGTGGCAACTAATAAGACATACTAGCTACTTGGACAGTCAATGGCAATTTTGGACTTTTTCAATCAGATCTTTCTTCACACTATCATATTGGTCAAACAAATTTCATATTCCAAATCCAAGAAATTGGTCAAAGAAATATAAATACTTAAGTCATGCGACCAGAAGAATAGGAAACATTCGTTTATTGCTCAAACAGAACTGACAAAAAATGATGATTACTAAAAAAATCCACAAGAGGGACCTAGAGAGTTGGTAAATATGTTCTACAAAACATAGAAAGTGGAAATGTTAGATTAGTTCAGACAGGATAGAACTCTGCTAACCTGACTGCCTGCCATGTCAAGTCTGTTACCATTTGCCAAGAGATCGTCAACTGCTTGCTCTGTCTCAAATGTAATAAAACCAAACCCACGAGACCGACTAGTGGAGTGGTCGCGCATAATCTGGTGTTCCTTAACCTCACCATATTGCGAAAAGAAATCCCTGAACTCATCTGCTTGACACTTAACAGTGAGTATGCTACAACTAATATTATCATCTAATTAAGCATTCGTGAAATAAAATAGTAAGTTACCCTCATCTACAGATGTAGGAATTCCACCAACAAAAATCTTCTTGGTCTTGAAGTCTCTAGAGCTGGAAGACCCTTTGGGTATTGTTCGTTTGATTTCCACCTAAAAATAACAAAATTCTAAAGTTTGAGCTCAAAACATTCGAAATCTAGTGTCTAACTAAAAAGCAACACACAGTTCAGGCCTACTTGTTTCCCATTAATAACATGTGTCTCCTCAATGACTTTATCTACCACAGAGTGATCAGCATAAGTCACAAACCCGAAACCGCGGGGATGTCCAGTCTTCCGGTCCTTCATTATAACAGAGTCCGTAATTGCTCCATATTCACCAAAATGTTTAACAAATTGCGCTGCAGAATCAACGAAAATCACAACAATTACAAAAACAACGACAGAAAGATAACACATTAGGAAATATACAATACAACCGCTAAAAAAACTAACCAGAAGTAGTCTCCCGCGGTAACCCTCCAACAAATATTTTCCTGCAACAGCACCCAAAAAGCAAGAAAAGGGATCAAGAAACATAAAAGTAAACAAAATTCGTTTCTAGAAAACCCCACTCCATCCCCACCCAATTCCACACCACCACCACCACCAACAACAACAACCCAGTCCCAGTTTCGAGAGATTCGCTGGGTCTTCGTTCTAAACACTTGAACTTTCGAGCTCCCCAGAGAAAGTAGAGAAAGAAGGTTAGATTAACTGACCCAGCACTCGCTCCGTCGCCATGAGGGGGTCCGTCATCTTTATGGGTGATGGGTTTGGGGTCCTGATGATCCCCATTAGTGGAAGCGTCGTTTGGTTTGGAATCCATGGACAGTGGAGCGAGGGAAGAAGAAGAAGAGAAAGTGAAGGGAAGGAATTAGGAAAATGGCTAAGCCCTAGAGGACATGAGTTGAATGAAGTTGAAAAAGGGCGCCCGTTCCTCCTTAAACCCTAGAATTTGGATTTCGCAATTTCTCGCCAGATTGTTCATTGGACCACTGCCATTAAATATCTTGGATTTTTCGATCCCCTGCGGCTCGGCCTATTTTAACCGCCTGGAACTCCCTTTTTCTAATCATAATCAAAGGCATGGAAAACTCCATCCAAATGGTTTAATTATCATTTCCTTCACTTCTTTTTTTCTTTTTTGATATTACAAAATTTGAAACTTTTTTCAAAAATATCTGAGAGATCAAACCTATTAAAGGAATGATGCTTACAGTTTTTTTGGTAGGTAGGAGCGAATATTCAAACTTACAAATCTTTTATCTTTTAGTTGGAGATATATGTCAATCATCACCGAATCATGCATCTGTAATTGTTCTTAAGAGACGATATACGCAACACCTCACATGTAGATCGTCTCTTCGTACCTGAACTCTAATAAAAAAAAATCGTCTCTTCATACATGACTTACTTTTTTTAAATACTTGACATGTCGTCTCTTCCATACACCGATTTTTAAAAAGAGATATGCCATGTGTCAAATATTAATTTGTTAAAAAAAAACTGGTGCATGAGTATTTTTAAAGAATACCACCACATAAATGGGTCTTTTCTTAAATAAAACAACAATTTCACCTGCATTATTTTTTAAACTAGTTTGCTATCTGAAATATTTTTCAAATAAGTTTTGAATTTCGTAACATTAAAAAGACCGGGTTTCGTCGGATCTTTTTAATATTGTAAAAAACAATTATTTAAATATAATTATTTCGAAATTAATCTTTAGTATATTTTTTTAGAATATTATAGTTTTAATTCAGATTAAGGAAATATTATTTTCATAAATGAATACACCCAAGATTCACTAAAATCACTTGATTTAGTGTCAAAGCGAGTATATGTCAGCGGTTATAATTTACATATATCTCAAATCAAGAAGTTGTGACTTCGATTTGCACCACACATGTTGTACTAAAAAAAATTCACTTGATTTAGTGAATACGAAAAATGAGGAATTGATACTAGGCAACATACTAACATATCCTAATTTTTTTTGTTCTCAATTTTTTTAAAGTTTTATTTTAGCCTCTCTCATCACAGAATTAAGATTGTTTACTTAATATATATATATATATATATATATATATATATATATATATAAATTTTTTTTTTCCAAATAATAGATCTTACGAATTTTTAAGGCATCAACAAATGTGCTAAAATGATTCAAGTCGACGACATTACTGTAACGAGTGTACCTTAACTTGTGTGGTTGCTTAAACAATATAATATTTTTATTGTCACGTGAAGTTATGTGAGACGATATTTCTTATAAAGTAAAGGTGCATTGTTATCTTTAAGTGGCAATACTTCGACTAAACATAAATTGAGAATAAAAATATGTTTTCTTTGATATATTTTTTTTCTAATTGGCAAATTAGAGACGATACAATAATAATTGAAATTTTTGTTGGAAGATTATTTCTCTATTTTATTTTAAATAAAAACAATTAGACTAAAATATGTTATTTAGGTTGCTTTCTTTTTCTCTTTTGAAACATTATTTAGGTTGCTTTTCAGAAGGAAAAAAAGACATTTTGTTATTTAAATAAAAAAATAAAAAGTTTACCTAGAATTATCAAAATTCCATTAAACAGAGAAAAATTTAAACGCATTGCACTCTTACATTGATATAAATAAGAAGTAAATAAAAACAGAACATTAAAAGAGATTCGAACACTTTTTAGTATTCAAAGTATAACAGAAAGATAATAATATTCATATAGCTTTTTTTTTTCGGAAATTAGACATACTAATACAACCAATGTTAAAGTTTATGTTCATATTATTGAGTATTTGTTTAATAGGGATGCAATTACAACAATGAAAATGTCTTGACCAGAGTAATTAAAATTATTTCATTAATTAAGAAAAAAAATACACTTTTTAGTCGGTTTGAATTTTACGTCTATTTAGTTAATGAGGTTTTAATGGTTAAATTACTATTGTATTTCACTGACTTGTGACCACTTTTCCCTTCCTTAACGAAAGGACCCAACCTTTTGTTCCACATATCTAGAGTCGTTACCCTTAAACGACGACAACGGTGATGAAATACAGTAACTTTGATGAGGAGGGGGGACGACAATGAGGGCCAACAACAAGAGAGGCAGCAATGAGTTAGCTTGAAGAAGGGAGATGGAGAAAGGAGAAAGATGACTACTTCAAAGTCCAATCATCACCGAATAATATTAAATTAAGCAATTTAACAACTGCATCATATTTTTATTAGTCAACTAATAATCAAATGATTTTAAGAACCACAATCATTTTCAAAATCTCATGGACTATAGTGTCCCCTTTCGAACCATTTCCAATTAAACACTAAACTCTCAAATCTTGAGTGACCAATAAAATCGTAACTTTCATATTGGAATTGAGATATTTCATGCTAGGGTTTGCAATTGAAATACATTTTCCTTATAAACATAGGAGAATTAATTTTGCTTCTTGAAAAGAATGTATATAAGTGAAGCATTTACCCCTGTTTGGAACCTCCGATCTAGAGGGAATTCAAAATCTTAACGGATTTTGAAATCATTTCTCGTGTTTGGATAAATAAAGAAAAAAGAATTTGAAATCCTAAATGATTTCGAATTCTGTTTTTAGTTTAAATAATTTCCGTTCGAAATAGGTTCCATTTGTGAGGATTTTAAATTTGAAGGTAACAAATTCCAATTTTGTCCTACTTTGGTGAAAAAAACTTATCACTCTAACCTCCTTCAATCTTTGTATCCCTATACACTTGTTGTTCCTTATATTTCAATATTGTTTAGATTCTTTATATGTTTATGTTTTTTTTTGGTATATTTTTCTTCTTTTTTACTTTTGCTTTTATTTTTTTTAGTGCATATCATAAAATAACTATGATAAAAATAAAAAAGAAACAAATTGTTGCGAATAAATTGAAATAATTTGATTTTAAGAATTTTTTTAGTATTTGAATAAAGAAAATTTGCAAGTCTTTTTTTTGTTTAGTTTTTAAAATAAATGTGACATTGACAAGTTTTAATTTTTGTTAGGTCGATTTGATTAAAGTATTTATGTTTTTCATGGTTGAAATTACTAGTTTATATTAAAATATTATATAAAATATTAAGTACATAATAGTAAAATGTTATACATTGTTTTCATTTCTCATGTACACCAAACAATAAATTTTAATTTTAATAATTTACCATCATTTTGGTTCCAAATACAATTAAGAATTTGAAATCATTATGTTCTACAAATTCCAGATGCTAAACGAAGCATATTCAATAAACACTTTAGAGGGAGGAGAAAATACTAAATTTAAAAGAGGTTGCCGTGCTTTTCATTTATTTTAAGAAATTTTCAAATTATTTTTTATTATTGAAAATTTTAAAAGTAATTTCAATTAGTAAAAAGCTCGAATGGTTGGGTGGACCGAGATAACTGGTCATGATTTACGAGAACTAAAAGAGGTTATCTTAAAAACAACCACCAAACAAATGAAAATAGAATTCAAATCTTCCACTTCAAATTTAAATCGACACAAAATACAACAATCAACATTCTCTTTCATCATTAAACATATTAACTTTACAAATTTGTAACCAAATGTTCTAAATGTTACAAAGCTATTTTTCCATAAAGAATTCAGTGATTCTAAGAACAATACAATCATCCTCTACCATGATCCTAAAATCTGACTTATCACTAGAAAATTGAATAAAGGAGTTGGAAAAGATTGCAAATCTCATAACTTTAATCCAATGCCAAAAATCTGGGACTTACATGTTCAAACTTGAACCTCCCCGGGAATGTTGAGAATGCGTGTCAAATTGGATGAGTTAAGTTCGGTAGCAGACACAAAGCTAGAATGTATTTTGCACATTGAATCTTCGCCTTCCCTCACGCTTGTAATATGGAGTCTCATCAATTGTTTGCCTCACGTAGTCTACAAATGGTTGTGGCATTCGAGGAGATTGTTCGTTTGAGATACCGGGGCTGCTGCGATCAGGCGTGACGGGTGCTGTAACAGTTGGAGTACGAGTAATGGCAGGCTGAAAGGACTGAGTTCTGTTAGGGTTGTCCATGAAACACATGAACAAAGTAATAGTTAACATCAGCAAGGACAGAGCGCCAAGTACTATAGCCCAAATGGTAACGTTGGAGGTGGGTCCTGATGCGTCTCCTTCTCCGGGTTCATAGCAGACATCAATTTCTGTTCTCTGGCCTGCAAGCATACACCACCACCACCAATATGCATCTCAATTTTGTGATGTTAGTGATCCAACTCCCTATCATCCCCCATCCAAAAAAACAGAAAAAGAAAAAAATGATGAAGGGATCTTTTAAGTAATAGAGTAAAAATAGTTTACCGTTAGCGGCTAATGTGATAAGAATTTTATCTTTGAATCTCTTCGTTCCCATTGCTTTTACCTGCGTAGAGATATGATAAAAAGTTTGTCAAATTAATTGGATTATGAGTAAATATTAAATACAGCAGGACTTACTTCATACTCTGTCCGCCCACCAATGCCAGATTCTTCTTTAGAAATGGGACCAGCAACGACCAAATCCTGTTCATGCCAGTGAAGATCGACGTCTACGAAAGCAAATAGCATCAGCACCATTCAGTTTAAGATACACAAAGGATATCTTCATTAAGTAATACCAAGTGAAGAATGCAGTGTGCGCAACGTTAAATCACTAATCAACTAAAAAACTTAAGCTAATGGGTTATGATAAATTTATCCTTTTAATACCTTAACAGCAAGTCATAGGATCACGGAAAGGCAACGGGTACACTAGAAGCTTATAATAGTTGTAAAATATAGATTTTTCTTAATTACGACACAGCATGTAACAGCCAAAACCTGTTGTTTTCCAAGAAAATCCTGAGCAACCTTTCCAATTACTAATGTTGGAGTTGGATGTACCATGAAGAATATTCGGCAGCCCCAAAAATGGTCTAGTATATCGAAAGGATAAAACTCGAGAAGGAAAAAGGGGGAAGAAGAAAGYGTTCACCAATTTTATTGAACCATTGAGACATAATTATTATCTTTCAATAAACAGGATTCTCCAAAACTTTATTGAACCATATTAGAAATTCTCTCAAGTTATAGGAAGTTCTATTATATATTTTGGCAGACCTAATATATTACAAATTGTTTATTACAGCATATTAACATAAAGTAGTTAGCTTACCTGTATTTCCCAAGATGGTTATAACAGTCTTGTTTGAGTCTGGAGTCAGATTCAACTGCGTTGCACTCTGGAATTTGAAAATAGTCAAAATTTGATAAAATCATACCAGAAATTTTCTTAGAATACAAACTAATTTTACTAAGAGAGTAAAGATTTAAAGAGTTGGACCAAACTTTGTTTAACTCTAGGAAATGTTAAATTTTTTTGAGGAAAAAAGAGAGTTTAAGAAATTCCTTCATGGAGATAACGAAAGGTTTTAACACGCTAAACTTGACAAAAATCATTGAAATATTATTCAAATCATCCAATTCTTGGATAGAATGAAAAGAACATTTAATGATTAACTTCTTATGTTGATGAATGCAACTCATACTTATGAGCTTCTTATGGACATCAACTTCTGTTTGGAAGTAGCGTTTGGATACATTATTCCAATTTCAATTTCCTGCAGGTGTTTATTAATGAATTACCTTGCCCATCTCCATGACTGAAAAGCCCCCTATAAAAAGTGCAGAAGCAGATCCAGAAATTTGTCTAGCTTCTCGAGATGAAGCATAGATAGAAACAGTTATATCTGGTCTCATGGCCTTTGACTTGGGCGCTAAACGAGCCAAGTGCTCCGGTGAGTAAGGGAAAAAGAGACAATATGAATTGTTATAGTCAAGATCCAACCATGGCTTTGCATACCTTTAATCCATAAAAAAATGTATGAATTATCAATTGCTCAGTTCAAGAATACGGGAAAGGAAGGAAGAAAAGAATTGGATCACAACATACCCAACAAAGAGAGGGTCTACTCTACAGTCGTGCAGGACTCTCTTATCATTTAGAAGAGTTCCAGATTTGCTGCTGAAATAAAATGAAACACATCAGAAGAAAACAAAACAAAAGTTTCACCGAAAAGACTCCTAAATCCCTAAGCCTTAAACCCTAATTAATAATCAATTCAAGTAAATTAACAAATTTGCTGCGTAGGTAACAAGAAAATATGTAATTAATTAATTATAGCCGGATCAGAAAATATTATAAAATAAATAAATAAATAAGTCCCACTAGTTTTCTTTAGCCATTACTTATGAAAAACTAATATTTTCAATGATTTTTAAGTTTAGGGTTAAAAAATCCCTTTTAGTTGGAGAAATTGGCTGGTACAATGTGGCTGACGGTTTTACACCAATGGATTGATGGTGAAATATAAATTTTAGTTTCTCTACCCCATATCCAAGGGTTTAAGAGGGGTAGGGTAGTCACAATGGGCGGTCATATTGAATAATTTTATCTGTATAAGGGAAGGGACTAAATAGAACCTTTCTTGGAGACTTCAGAACTTGAAAGGAAAATTCAACCAAAAAAAATTTATTATCCAACTCGTTGGTTAGGGAATTTAAACACTGAATTCCATCCTCACAAAAAACTTCAACATGGAAGTGTCATTACATAAGGTAAAGCTACTGTCTATCATTCAATTTTAACCAAAAAAAATTATTTCACTACTGATCAAAGATAATTTCCGAAATTCCGTACGATAACCTTTATGAAATCTAATACTCTATATTCACATGCACAAAATCTACAAACCTGAAATTCACAGAGAAGTTATATCCTTTTCCTGGGAAAGGAACATTTGTCAGAATTTCAACTGGAGCAACCACGGACAAAGTGTACCCAGTCTGTACTGTCACAGTTGTCCGCAAGGTCAAATTTGAACCTTCAAATAGTACTGTCGCATGGAACGGGTTATGGATTATTTTACAGTTGATAAGCATAAAGTAAAACCAGATAAGAATATGAGTTCTTTAAAAGTACAGTAACAAAGCTAACAATGAAGACATCATTTGGTACCTTCTGTTGAACCTGGACCAACTGCTTCAGCTATTCCAGCTAGCATGTCCACAGATAAAACACTTTCATTGGTTGTAGTCCACCGGCCAGAAATTTGATCATTGAAACCTACACATTATTTATGGTAGAATCCTTAAAATAAATTCTTATGCTTGAGTATTTAAACTTTCACCCCCCACCCCCACCCCCACAAGAAAAAAAAAAGCCCTGCATTATCTCCGAATTATGGAGGTGCGTATGTGAAAATTATTTCTCAAGGAGATTAATCATGACATCACAAAAACAAAAAAATAAAAAAGAATAAATAAATATATGTCTTGATATGAGCATTTTCCGGTGAAATTTAGACTTGTAGTTTATCCAGAAGAAACTCTGAAAGTGATAGTTCTCAATTCAATTCCTAGATACTAACCTTTAATACTGAAGTTGAGATGACTACCGACATGGATTACTGGGTCGTGAGGATATATTAGCGCACCAACTGAAATCTGGAGGAGACAATGGGATTTAGGGAATCATAGAGAAATCAAGGCAAGATATAACTTGCATAAAAGGCTAGCACTTGTATATCTTGATGAGTACTCTCTCTCTCTCTCTCTCTATTTTTTTTTTCCTTTTTAGAAAAAGGGAACAATACTTTTCATGGATGACATGAAAAGTACAAACTCCTATTCAGAGATGCAAAAAACGGCCCAAAAACCCAAAAAAGATACACTGAAAAACACTGCCCACACTAAGCAAACCTGAAAATTAAACAACTACCAACTTCAAAGACTAGGTGTCCATGAAGGTGTCTTACGAGAGAGTGTAAGAGGGTTCTACCTGCTGATTTGTGTCCTAACACTACCAATTACAAAGTATCTCAAGCAAGGAGAAAACAACGAGCATGTGAAACACATTGCCTTTTAGGTAATATTTTTCTGCCAAAAACTTTAACTCTCTCTCTCTCTCTCTTGCTCTTTCTGTCTAAAAAAGATATACTCACTCCTAAAAGTAGAATGCAAATAAATATTTCACAGATTTAAAATAAGTAGACCAAGGTACAACCATACCAATATATAGTCCGACTTTTCTGGATTCTTGTCAATCGATACTTGGACAAGAGCTGTACCATGTTGCTCTGCCTTCAACATCAGAAGAAGAAGTCACAACAGAGCTACATCTAAATAAGGGTAACGTGAAAATTCAATCAAATGGTCAAACATACAGATACTGCATACTATTCTGTGAGTTGCACGTGCTTTAGAATTCTTTCAATAGAAGACTACATTTTTTTTATAGGAGATAAAATTTATTTGTATGTTGAAATAACAACAGACGAAGAAGATGAGAATGCTCAAGCAGAAAAGTAATACAGAAAAAGTTATCAGACAAAAAAAAAAACTACTGAAAGTATAATCACTTAGAAGAATATATATATATATATATATATATTTTGATATCCGTGAGTGTCCGGGCCAGCTTATGCTCACCTCGACTAATCTCACAGGGCAACCGTCTGACCTTACAACATTTGGTGCTGGGAAACACATAGGAATTACTAATTCCTAAGGTAGGTGGCCATCATGGGATTATGCTGAAGTAATTCCAAAGTCTTAGAATTACACTTTTTGGCCTACAAAAAGCAAAGAACATAATTTTGTCCCAAATTGCTCAATTTTATTGCAGTCTACAAATATCAATTTGTTCATTTTAACCCAAATATGCAACTAAGTGCTGCAATTGCGCAATTCCAGAATCCCATTATCTTCTAGTGAATATTCTTCCAAAAATATACCTAGTTAAGTAAAGAATGAACATCCTTTGACAAGAACCAAAGAACATCAAAATAACATAGCAGCTTTAACCACAAGTTAAGAGCAAAATCACACGGCTGAGAAAAAGATGGTCAACTGATTCATCCACCTCACAATACAGCAAAGAAAACACCATAATGGTGAAAGAGCAATTAGCTTTGTTTCTGCATCAAATCACAAGTACTTGCTTTTTTTCAAAATTAAAGTCCAAAAGGTTGTCAAAGGGATGGCTCTAAAAAACAGGAAGATTTTCATGAATAATTGGATCCTTAAGTTTTTCATCAACAAATTGGGAGAGATGTGCATCATGAATAAGAAGCATAAAAGAACAGAATACATAGATGATGTAGTTAGTTGCTAGTTGTTCGGCCTTTTAAGTTAGTTGGGCCTTTATAAGTCTTCTTTAGTCTCTTCCATAGTTACTATACGGTAACTTGGCTTATGTTCAGTTTTAAAGAGTCCAGCAACCTCTATAAATAGGGGCTGGTTTCCTTAATAAAGGATCATTACAATTTCCTCCAAGAAACTCTCTTACTTGTGTACATCAATAGATCTAAAGGTCTTTGAGGTTTCTTCTAACAGACAAATTCAGAGAGTCAGGATGAGAATATGAAACCTTTGTTATCCAAGAAAATTAAATAAGAACTTGACCAAGGCTTAACTAGCGCTTCCGCGTAATAACTCTACCAAAGGCGGGATAGCTTCCAGACAATCAATAGGATTTTCTTCATCCTCCCTTCCCGAAAGTGAAAGGAAGAACGTGAAATTCTTTTTCCTTTCTTCCACATGGACCAGGAGATTGGATCTGATTGCAAAAGAGGGGAAATCGGTCACATTAAAATTACCTTATGGGGAAGTCTACTAAGGTAAAAATATTACTAGAATTTTCCATTGATATCCTTTCAGGATTAGTCGGGTCTAAAGAGACGATAAAGCCGATCAAATTGATTCCAAACTAAGCCAGAACAAACCAACCAAATGTCCTCCTGGAGTCAAATTCTATAACTTTTGCTAAGGAGACTTAAACACAGAAAATAAAAAGACTGCCAGACAAGGCTTGTACAACTTTAGAACCCATATTGGTGTTCAAAACATCATATTTACTTTTAATAAAAGTGTTAATCACCATTGAATCTTAAAGCTTAAGCCTATGGGTTACAGTAAATTTAATCATTTATTCATATCCCAACACTTCCCCGTACACTTGTCTTGGAAATTTTGCACAAGACCCACAAGGGGTTATCGATATTAATTGGAGAGGAAATGATATTACTGGGTGTTAGAATTTCCAATATTTGTAAATATTTGTGTGTAAATATATATATATATTTTTTTGATGAGAAACACATATTTCATTGATGGCATGAAATATACAAAAAGAAAAAAAGGAGTTACAAAAGAGCCCTTAAATTCCTCAAAAGGTCATTTAGACTATGGCTAGAGACAGATGGAAAGTAGCTTTTACACCAGCTAAGAGTTGTAACCAAAACCCCATTATAAAAGTTGTCAAACGGTTGGGACTTGTTGTTGAAGATTCTGCTATTTCTTTCTCTCCAAAGATTCCATAGAAATGCTCTGATAAAGAGGGACCACATAATCCTCTTGTTCTTTTTGAAAGGATGTCCCCCCAAGGTTGCTTGTAACATAGTGTTTATATTCGCATGTAGAGGGATTTGCCAATCAAAAGCTTTGATGATGGAGCTCCAAAATCTGTGAGCAAATTCGCAAGTGACAAAGAGATGGTTTGGGTTTTTGCTTCCTTGAGACACATAATGCACCCATTTGGAGATAAAACCATCATTGGCAGGCGCCTATGTAATCTATCTTGGGTGTTCATAGCTTTGTCACTAAGATCCGAACAAAAGAATTTTACTTTTTTGGGGTACTTTTCTGCCCAAATAATCTCAAAAGACAAGGGGGGAGGAGTTTGTTGCGTATCTGTGAGGTGCTTTAGGAGGGATTTAACCGTATAGGTTTGAGTGGGATCCATAGGCCAAATCCATTTGTCTTCCCTGTGAGAGATGAAAAGCTGAGATTCTGTGCTCAAGGTCAAACCATTCTGCCAGTTCCTCATCTTTGAGCGGTCTACGAAAATGGTGAGTCCATGAATATGGATTGTTCACACATCTCACTAACCTTAGCATCTTTCTTTGTAGAGAGCGAGTAGAGTTGGGGGAAGTCCTCAACCAAACGGGTATTAGAAGTTCATCTGTCGTTCTAGAAGCTCGCCAATCTACCATTTCCAATTTTACAGTGGACTATGTTTTTCATGTTGTTAATGAACTTAGATATGCCAGCCCAAGGACCTTTGTAGATTTTGGATGGTTGATTTGGCCAAGGATGATTTGGAGAAATCCCATATTTCGCCCCAATCAGTAGTTGTGTCCAGAGGCTGGCTTTTTCTGTTAAAAATCTCCAGACCCACTTTGATAACAAAGCTTGGTTTCGATTCAAGATGCTGCCTATCCCCAAGCCTCCTTGCTCAGTAGGGAGTTGTCAATACTTAATCTTTATTGTTTTTATTTTTTCCTTATGTTGCATAGGATCTTTCTACTATATGTAAGAAGACCTAGATTGTACATATTTAAAAATATTATAATATTATTACTCTCTCCAAATTAAGATGAGAGTTCAACATACATGACCTTTTGCTCTGACACCATGGTAAGTCGCAATTGAATCTAAAAGTTTATGCAGCTGAGTTACAGTCAATTTAATCATTTATTCACATTCTAACAAAAAGAAGGAAAACCGTTAAAAATACTTTAACGAGATAACCAATACCACAACACCCAACACCCCCCCCCCCAACAAAAAAAACCAGTTTTGGGTATAGAAATCATTTTCGAGGTTGGGTTTGGGTGCTTCTGTTATTTCTTTACTTGTAATTTTTCATTTATTCAATAAAAATTCTGTTTCCTTGTAAAAAATAATTAACAAGATGAATTCTTTTACCTTCATTTCCTTTGCAAAATAAAATACTAAATTTTTTTGCAATGATGTCACTTTTCAAGGGAGCTCTAAGATAGAAAGAT